AATTCTTGAAGTTCATTACGGTTAGAACATGTAGAAAGACGTACCTCATTTGTTCCTTCTTCTGCCATGAGACCAAGTTCGCCTGAATCTCATCACTATCTCCTTTGATGGCCATGAAGCACATATTGACAATGTCCTCATGATAAAATTCTTCTTCATCACTCCATGCTCCAAAGGATTTCTTCTTCTAAAAATTTCTGCTTAGTTTCTTTTTCAGCTCAGGGCATTCAGCTTGAATGTGTTCATGTTTTCCACATTCGTAGCATTTTTTATCATTTTTGTCATTTTCATTATTCATCTTCCGTTTTCTGAAATTTGATTTACCTCTTCTGCTATTTTTGTTTTTCCTCATTATGCTTGTTACAACTTTAGAGATCATAACTATATTTACCTCCTCCTCCTCCTCCTCCTCCTCCTCCTTCTTCTTCTTCTTCTTCTTCATTTTCTGATTCAGCTACGGTCGCTTTGAATGCAACTGCCTTATTTTTTTCTTGCCGGACTTGCCTATCTAAATGTGTTCTCTCAAATGCTATTAGACCACCTCTGAGTTCATCATAGGACATCTTGTCAAGATCCTGACATTCTAGAGCAATAACTTTGGGTTGCCAAATAGTGGGGAGACTTCTTAGAATTTTCATGACTTGTTCACCACTTCTTATTGGTCTACCAAAGGATTTTAAGTCTCCCAAGAATTTTGCTGAACCTAGAGAACATTTCTTCCACTGATTCTCCATTAGGGCTGCTTATCGGGCGGATTGGACGATTATGTACTCTTAACGGTTTGGCTTATCGGTTATCGGCTTTTAAATATATTAATCCGCTAGCTACCCGATAAGATATTGGGCGGATTGGTGTCGGTTTAGCTCTTATCGGGCGGTTTATCGGCCTAATTCAATCAAAATAAAATAAAATTTAGTCTTTGTATGTTTAAATAGGTGGTCAACGTACTAAGAGGAACGAAGCGGAAGAGACGCCGTGATGGGTAAATCATCTGTCTAGAATCTTATTTATGTTTATGCACATTGGCCTTAGTCCATGTGAAAGATTTCTTGGTGTACTAATATTATGATTAGAAGTGGGCATACTGTATATTTTAACATAACATCTGCTTGGACAGAATTGCTAGGCCAAGTGTTCTGTTAGTTAGGACTTAGGAAGATATATTTGCCCAGGATAAGAAAAAACAAATGTAATTTTAGGTGAAAGTGAAAATTAGCATCTGTAATTTATAGACGTAGAAGTCACAGAATAATTTCGTGTCAATTAGTACAAAATCGTACATTAAAATCTTAATCCTATTGTATAGAACAGAAATAAAACATATAAAAAGTTACCACACGATGACTATATATAAAATGAATAGGAAAAGATTTCTTTACGAATAAAACAATGTAGGATCACAAAAAGTTTATAAAATTATTACCTACTAATAATTCAAAACAATTGAAAAGAAAATCATGTGTCATGATATTACGTTAAATAAGATAAAAGTTATTAGCTCATATAAACCTTAATACTCGAAAACAGTGAAGAGGAGAACTATGAGTTTGAAACAGTTATCAATTTGAACTGGGAACGATTTCTAATTCCTGGTGGATTGACAAAAACTCAAGTAGGCAGAAGTATAGTTGAATTCAAACGTCGAAAATAGTTGGTAAAGTTCAATATTACAATTCTATCCAACATAAATTATCTCGTTGAAGGAATTTAGGCTTGTAATAAAAAAAATTCAATCCGTTCTCCGTCCGTTAAACCGTTAACCCGATACCAATAAGCCATTAAGCTTCGGTTTCGGTTCGATTTTGAACACCCTATTCTCCATCTTTCATTTGAAACAATATAATTCATAATCTCGGACTAGGAGATTAATCCTTGTTTCTTTCACTTTGTTTGTTTCTTCATATATGACTTCTAACTTGTCCCACATTTCCTTTGTAGTTTCACAGCTAGATATCTTTTCATACTCTTCTCCGCTTATGGCATTGGTACAACAGATTTTTTGCCTTGGCGTTTACTTGGATAACAACTGCTTGTTCTTGAGTGTATTCATCTAAATCAAGAGGATAAGATGATAATATGATTTCACCGTCTTTATCCTTCTTTGGCGGAATTGGAAGATTTCTCTTTTTGATCATACGCCATACCTTAATGTCATATGACATAATGTAGGTTTCCATAAGCACTTTCTAGAGTGAAAAGTGCTGGCCATTGAAGTAAGGAGGCTCTAGCGACTGTGTTTGATGCCATGATCTTTTCCTCACTTGCTGTTAAGCAATATTTGTGAGTCTTCGCTCTGATACCAATTGAAAGTACAAGACGAAGGTGAATTGTAGCCGATTTTAAAACTTAGTTGACTAAAAGAGGAAGTAGTCGACTAAACTTCACAGTGGGATCAATCGCAACAGAATTATACATGTTTACTACTTGAGTTTATACTATTGGAAGAATTAGTGTCGACGTAGTTGTGTTTGAATTTTTTTATGAAAAAACTGTGATTTATGAATCTTCGTTCAAATATCTTGAGAAAAGATCACTGATCCCAGAATTAATGTAGACGCTTTCATATGATTAAATTGTATCTAGAAAACTGATTGCAAATGTTTATATGTTACTAAGTATGTACACTCAGAAATAGTTGAAATGGAAAAAGTCATTACGACTTTAAAGATTGCATATGATAAAGAAAGAAAAAAGAAGAGTAAGGTAATCTAACCACAATGTAAGTTTTTACCAATGCGGAAGACTCGGCACAACGACTAAGCAAAAGAAAATTTCATGGCCATTTAACAATTTCCAGAAGTTTCGGTTTGAAATCAACCGCTTTTTCCTTACTTTCCAGGTGAGTTCCAGCTTGTAAGTTTCATTTTGGAAAAGGCTTTTATTTATATCCAAGCACACGAGTACGTGGAATTAAAATTACGTGAAAACAAAGGATATGTTAATAAAAATAATCTTTAAAAGGTTCACATCTCCTTCCTTTCCAAGCATAAATAATACTCCATCCCTTCACTTTTACTTATCCACTATATTAAAAATACATTTTCATTCTACTCGTCCACTATATTAAATCAAAAGAAAGGCAGTTTTTCTCTGTGTTGACCTTACCATTAATTATTCATTTTCAAAATTATTTCTCAAGACATTTTGAAATGTTATCATTATTAGGATTTAGGAGTTATATGGTAAAATATATAGACAAAATTACAGAATAATGCACTCCATAAGTTGACCTTGCACTATCTTAGCTCAGTTACAAGTTTGCAAATGTGTAGCCAAATATCAATAAGATCTTTTTTTTTCTCATTCCCTCTAATTATAACAACTTCATTTATTCCTACCTACTCATATCGTAGCTCTCTCCTCATTTTTCACCCATAAATATTTAATTTAATTAATGAAAAAGAATCATATGCAAACAAAATTGAAAAGAAAAATTAGTTCCCCACTCAGTCAACACTCATTCGTGCCTTCTTCCATAAAGAATACTTCTCTGTTTTTTTTTAAATTTTGTATATTTTCAGGTTTATACATACTCTATCACAACTACAAAACGCAAAAACAAACGCGAGAAACCTAAAATCTCATCTCCTTTAATGCTAATCTTGTTAAATTTCGATTATGATTTTGTGAGAAATTTGGAGTGGGTATTGTTTGAACTTATTAGAAATAGTCTAAGTAGGTTGTATACAAAGTTTGAAGTTATTTGCTGGATATTTGGACTAGTTTTATACAAGAATTGCAAGTGAAAATCGTACAAAAATTTCGTAAGCGATGCTTATACACTTTTATACAAAGTGGTACAGTATGTATATAGTTGTATAAAAGTGTATAAAGATGTATAATCACAGAGTGAAAATATTCTTGATACACTATGTATATAGGTGTATAAGAAGAATGAGAAGAAAAAGAAGAAGAAAATGCAAGAAATTCACCAAATACCTGTAAATAATGTATCAACCTTGGATATAATAGTGTACAAGTTGTGTTTATACACTATTATATACTATTTATACAATATTATACATTATTATACAAATGAATCCTATCAATGGAGCTTCACGTGTTCTTCTTCTTCCTTGGGCATCCTCTGAAATTTAACTCAAATATAGCCTAAAGCTACTCCAAATCACTTGAAATTTAAGTTTTGAACTCATCTTGATGATTCCAGTTAATTGAGACAACACCCATTCCAAATAACTAACAAATCGGAAAACTCAATTTCTGAAATTTAACTCAAATATAGCCTAAATCTACTCCAAATTACTTGAAATTTAAGTTTTGAACTCATCTTGACGATTCCAATCAATTAAGACAACACCCATTCCAAACAACTAACAAATCGGAAAACTCAATTTTTGAAATCGAATCTTCGAACCACTTGTAATGGTGACTTTTATTTTTCAAATCCTTAGTTAACCACTGAAATATAGAAAAGAATTGAAGGAGAATAACAATAGTAGAGAAATTTTGTGGTGCAAAGGCTGACATGGGAAGGAGAAGAAGAACGAAGAAAAAAGGGGAGCGAAGAAATAAGGGGTGGGTTAACTGGTGAAAATTAATTTTCAGATTATGTACAACCCGGGCGATAATGGGTAAGCGTTTCAAACATTGGCCATTTTCTGATGGGTTGTTGGGCCAAGTGACAAGGGATGTAATTCTCCCAAATATATACTACAATTATTATTTCGTAAGGGACGTAAAAAGTTCAAAGTGGACAAGTAAAAATAAATGGAGGGAGTACATTTATTTTATGTAAATATTTTCCTGTAACTTAACACAAAGAATTACTATTAATTTATAATGGACGCGTCTAGATTAATTATATCCCGAAAAGACAAAGAAGCTACTATTCGTTCACAGAAGGTCTAATATGTACTCTCTCCGGTCCACAATAAGTGACCAGTTTGCTTTTAACACGCCCATTAAGAAAATACTAAATTCTATACAAAAATACCTAATATGACTAAACTACCCTTAATTAAATATTGGTCACATAGTTATAGTGGCATTTACTTCTCTTCTCATATCACTACATTATTCAAAATAAAATTTGAAACTTTTGCTAAAATTTTAAGAACGTCTTTGAAAAAACAAACTGGAGCAAATTTTTGCCACCAAAACTATCTTTTTAAAGGAAGCTCAATTTCCAGGTTATTGTTAAACATGGCTAAAATGGAAAAGCACCAAATTTCTCCACTTCAAATTGATCTAAACATTCCTTTGTAGGAAGATATATTTTCAACATAGTCCTAATTACTTGTTGTAGATCTTCATCTTCAATCGCTGCTTCGCTTTCATCGGGAAATTTGTTTAAATCAAAAGAAAATCTTGAACTTTTCTGGAGTCACCAACGTTCAGAATTTCCAGCTTGCTTATTGAGTCATCTACCTTCTTAATTTCATTGTTCATTGAGTCATCAACTTTGATTTCCTTCAAGTCTTGAATTGTTTCAAGTTGTTCCTCAACTTTGATATCCATGGAGATTGAATGACTTCTCAATTGCTGAAGTAGTTGTTCTCGAGTCTTTGAATGACTTTTCAGTTGCTGCTATTTAATTTTAATAATTTAATGTGGGAAGTGAGAAAACTTTTTAGGGATATGCACATAAAGGTAAAAGAGTAAAAACAAATTGAAATTTTTCTTGATTAGGATACTTATTTTGGATCAAAATGAAAAAGCAAACTGCTCACTTATTGTGAATCGGAGGGAGTACATGATAATTGTTTCTTTAACGCATGAGATAAAAGTCCAGCTACTCAATTCAAACCCCACCCAACCCAACCCAACCCAACCCAACCCAACCAGTTCCCTTAAATTGTGGCCAGCCGTATGTAGATATACATACAAAACGAGTCTCCTCCTTATCTGCTCTCGTGTCCGGCCCGCTGTTAAAAAAATGAAATGTTATGTGTCTTCTGACCTCCTCTTAGAGGCGGCGGCATTTGGTGGAATTTACCCTCAGTTGTAGCCGCGTCTGGAACGCACCTTCTAATTCTTATGCGTTAAGAGTCGGTGAAGAGTTATTGACATATTCCTCAAATCCGCATCTGCCAATTTGCATAAATACCCATCTCTTTCCCATTCAACAACGCTCTCATGCATATCAAACTTAATTATACCTCATAAATAAATATATTATGAGCAACGTTCCGAGATCTTTAACAGATTCTTCCCTCGCCCTCTTCACTTTAGCCATCTCTTCTTCTGATCCTTGGCCTTTCTCTCTCCTCTTCTTCTAACATTAATTTCCTTCAATGCATAACATTTTCTGCCTCACCTAGCTAGCAAACCGCACAAAAATTTTGATTGGATTTTATTAATTTCAGCAGGGATGGGGAGCGGAGAAAAACGCCATCATCATCATCTTCATCTTCATCATCATCAACAACAATGGCACGAGAATAAGGACATCCCAAGAGGTTGTGTTACGGTTTTGGTAGGTCAAGGAGAGGAGCAACAAAAGTTCGTAATACCTGTAATGCACATTAATCATCCCCTCTTCATCCAGTTGTTGAAAGAAGCAGAGAAAGAGTACGGTTTTCATCACAACGGTCCAATTAATATCCCTTGTCATGTCGAGGAGTTCCGTTACGTTGAGGGTATCATAGACAAAGATAGCGCCGCCCATCATCACCACCACCACCACCACCACCACCACTACTTGTGGACTTGCTTCAAAGCCTGATCTTTTTAATTTATTGCCGTCAATTTGTACTTCCGTTTTAATTACTTTTCTTAATTTTTCCTTGGTTGTATATGTGCTACTCCTATGTACTACTATTGTGAATGACGACGACGAAAATTTATACTATGAGTCTATATACTACAGCTGCCACTTGTATATCTAATTTTCCTGTTATGAATTTGAAAGGAAATTGTTAGAGAAGCTTAAAACTATTCATTCCTTCTTTTGACATTCAAGACTTACGTATTGTAACAACATAGATCCATAATTAAAAAAGTATTTGTATTGTTCTAGAAGAAAAGAAACAAAAAATATGGTAGAGTTAAGACAGTTATTGTATGAGAGGTTTATTCAATGTTAGATGCTGAGGCGCATAGTATATCGATATGAACATAATGAACTATTCGTTAACAAAATCGATTTCTCCTTTTTCCCTTGATGAATTTTAATTAATTAATGAATCCTCTTTCTAAGTTATCTCATGAAGTATAAGTAATCTTTTGGTTAATTTCTTACAAAACGTTGTCATTTTCCTTCCCATAAAAGTTTATAGTTGTTGCATCATTCATTGAGTTGAAGTTCTATACATTAAGAGTGTAAAAAGTATTTACATAATCATATAGGAAGAGATAAATTGTCAGAAATCCATAATAAAATCCGACTAATAAGGAGGAAGGTGTTAGGAATTATGCCATTATCATGTGACATGTGAGGATAATTTCAAGGAATGACGGAGCTTTATTATTGATTATATATATATATCCATCCCCATTATATTAGTTATTTAGACGAGACTCAAACCTACAGTTACAAAATCTCAGCTCAAAGTTTTTCACTTATTCTTTTGAACGTGACAGAAAATTCCTTCTTGATATCAATCATCAATTACAATTTTGGGTGTGTGCATCGTTTCTAGATCTTTCTTTCGCTAACACGATCAATTTTACTTTGTAATAACCCACAGTATTTACAGGAATGGCAAGCTTTAATTTTACCATTTTACTTTTATCCTTCTCTTTTTATGAGAATCGAAGGTTGGAAAACGTCAAGCTTTTACTAATTGAAAATATAATTTGGAGATTGGTTGCCCCAGTGGCTCGATTACTAGCTTTCATGTATATAAACTGGAAATTGTGTGTGAAAAAATAAAAATTAGGCACAAAAAGGTTCTCGCAATACATTAAATTCAAAATTTCATGACTTGGTCAGTGAAATTGGTATTTCCTAAACTAATTGTCGGCAATTCCGTGGAGACAGCTTAATTACTAGTCAATATCATCTGCCGTCTAATAATAAATCTTTCTTACTTTCTATTAACTTAAAAGAAAAGCATTTAACTTAAAAGAAATTCGTTATCCGTCGACAATTTCATGTTTTGGGCCTAAAGTCAATAAGTGGTCCAAAATTTATTCTGCTTTATCTTAAGAAGGCTGAAAAGAGGGAGAAATTCAAAAATAGCCAGATTTCGTTGAAAAATAGTCAAGTTTCAAAAGTCATCGAAATTTATCCACTTTAAATCTGAGCGAAAACACTGTTCAAAATCCGGAAAAATACGCCCGCAAATTTTACGGGAGTTCCAGGATAACTATGCTGGAACTCCCGCAAATTTTACGGGAGTTCAAGCATAATTATGCTGGAACTCCCGCAAATTTTAAGGGAGTTCCAGCAAGTATAATTGTCCAGTATAATATACTGGAGTTTGGAGCACTGGTGCTCCAGTCTCCCGCAAATTTTACAGGAGTTAGCAAAGTATACCGGTCCAGCATAATATGCTGGAGTTCGTACACAAATGCACCAGAACTCCCGTATATTATACTGGACCGGTCTCTGTTGCAGCAAAATAGTGGCTATTTTTCATTGACTTGATAAATGCTGGCTATTTTTCATTGACCAGTGTGAAAACTGGCTATACCATGATATTTTAACCTGAAAAGACGTACGTTTCCCAGAATGTAAAACAAAAGTTTACGGGAAGATGATTCGAGTCATTCGAGGTTAGAGAGTTGTGGACAAACATAAACATAAACACAAACGAAGAGAAAGAATAAATCCGAGTCACTGATTTTACAGTATATTCTTAAGAAACTTAATCCCCTCCTAGTATCGGAGATTTAGGATTATGTCCTCGTAGAATAAAACGGATTAACCTTACTAGTGTAGTGGTAGTTCAAACACCAGTGACCATCGAACACAAATGACAGCACAAAAATCATACTTACTTATATTTGAAAGCAATGTACAAAGGAAGAGGAGGGTTCAAAAATTTTGTAAGGAAAATATGAGGGAATGAACAAGTATTTATAGTCCACGGGTTGAGTTACTTGAAAAAGTGCAACTCAAAAGTTGCATCCTTTCTAGTGATTGTTTACGAAAAATGGCCTCACCAGTTGCTGATCTGAAAAACTAGCGAGAAATAAAATGAGGGAAAAGTTAAATTGTCGTTACGGAAACATTCATAGAATATTTATATTATATTAATATTAACAAATAAATTTATTTTGTCCAAAAAGTTAACCAATTAATCAAATTGTTTGACCAAACCTAAATTCAAAATCGAACGATGACGACAACAACACGAGACTTGCCTTCTTTAAGAGCAAGAAGTGCCTCTCAATATAAACACAATATTCTTACTTTTTCCAATGAGATATAAAGTTACTTTGTAAAAGGATTGTTTTCAAAATTTCCATTTCACTTCATTTCCCATGCACACCATACTAAGCAAAAACCCAAGATTGTTAGAGGGAACGGAAAGCAGAGAGAAGCTAAATTCATTAGTTTTTTGCTTGGAAGGGATAAAAATATCTTGTTCCAAATGTAATGAATAATTCAATTTGTGGTTTGTGGCAATATTAAAACAAGAATCATACGACATACTGATGTAAAGTGACCTTTTTTTGAAAGAGTAATGTGTGCATGTATTGTGGTTTGGGGGTGGTCTGTTAGCCAACTTGTTGCCTCTTGATTTGATTTGAATATTTTTACGAATTGCTTATATCATATCGTACCACATTGTCCTCCTACCTAGCTCATCTCTTAATCATGGGCTCATGGCACATTAAAAGATGTATGTGGCACAACAAGTTCAAGTATCGAAAGATTTTTGTTTTTAAATGTTAAAAGATAATTTTAACATGAAGTTACCTCAAAAAACATATTCTAGCTAGTATAATATTATATTCTCTTACTCAGGATAGAGGTAGAAGGTTACCTACGGTTTCGACTGAATCTAATAGCTATAGTGTAAACTCTATATTTGTATATAAGAAATTCACTAATTTAGTATATAAAAATTAAATTTAGAATCCAATTACTAACAACTAATGTCGCTATTCAAGAATTTAGAATCCATAAATTTCGAATCTTAGTTGCGCCTCTGATCTTACCGACACTCACTAGTTTTAACTAACGATCTTAAGAAGCGGACATAGTTGGGAGATCAAGAAGCACTACTTGCTAATTTTATGTTTTGGTTTGTACGTTGTAACCAACTTTTGAAATCATGTTTCTGAGTCATATATATTGTAACCAATGGTTAATTAACTAAACCCATATGTACTGTGTTATACCCAGCTTTCGAACCATTTTCCTTGTACTTTTCCAAGTTCCTTCATCATCTTCTTTGTTTTATTAGCTGCATAGAAAATTTATCACTATTTAGATTGCTTATATTGTGGATATTATACGTTAATAATTTCAATTAATAAATTATCAAGAAATGGTATCCCCTTAACTTTTTGTTGATTCCTTATCATAACATGACGTATTGTGTACTGGTAGCAGTGTCATAAACAAGCTCAAAGTCAATAGTATTTAAATTATTAAATAAACATCTTTGGTTCAAATAAATTCAGAAGTGCATGCATCAGGAATCGGGTCACGTAACTAGACAATTCCACAAAATTGCTTGCATTTTTCTGACGTTGATTGCAGCTATATAATATTTGGCCCTCGCGACTGTTTTCTTCCCCGTGAATCTACGTCTTTATCGAAGGGTCTAGGCGTCTAGCAATTCAGCCTCATTCTCAATCAAAGTTCTAATCTCCGAGAGAAAAGAGGGAGTAACGGCCATATAAGAAAGGTAAAAGTACCTGTCATATCAGACAGGATACGATCCTTCATTGTTAATACTAGTTAATTCAAAATGAGTATAAAACTTTTAAAAAATTATATAAATATTATTTTTGAATTAAAATAAATGTGTAAAATTTCGACAAAGAATATTGAGTATGTATATATAGTTAATTCAATAAGGAATATCAATTTATACCTTTCTCTCTCTATTGTTTTCTTTTAACTTACTTTTAAATACTACCTTAATTACTTATGAATAAATGTATCTAATTTATTTTCATTAATTTCAATATATAAATTTATCTTATCTATGTTTTACTTTTCGAGTATTGTAATTGGATTTGTAATTTAATATGTGTATAAATTTACAATAAGTATTCAACTTATTCAAATAATTAACTTAAAGTACATTATAGTAATTTATTACTTTAAATTGAAATACTACCATTATTTTCTAAACGTAAGCATGCCGTATTAAACTTATATATGTTTTCATACTCGACCTAATATGTTGTAAGTTGCTCTGCATATTATTAGTAACCTTTAATTTTTGAAGACTTAAAATTAGATCTAAATTTTATTAGTAGATATCTAACACGTTTGTGTACATTTTAGTAATCTTTTATTATTAGTAATGTTTCTAGAATTATTTGTTGAAGGAATAGTTTAGTTTTTTAAAGCTACAAAAGTGAAGATGCCGACCAACTTCAACTTTGTGAAAAATATATTCCTAGATTTTTAGGTACCTTAAATATTTTATTTTTAGTTAGATTTATTTCCAGAAATTTATATTTGCCTTATATTTTCAGATTATTTATCTTTCAAAATTAACATTTAAAAATAACTATGTAGGTAATTTTAAAAATTAATTCTTTGGAACTACACTAATTAATACTTTCAAGTCTAAAATCCTCGTTGTTTCCAATCAATAATTTTTTTTGGGTTTGTTTGTACTTTTAAGCTTTAGAAATGTTTAGGTAAACAAATTATATGCCTACCTAACGGTGAGAGGGTTCATAATTTTGGAGTTAAAGATTAGTTATTTTACCCAATTCAAATAAGGAATGTATTAGGCATAAAGATTTTGTGCAGTTTAATTATAATTTAATTGTAAAATATATATATATGGTAAAATTTTAATAATTTTAAAGTCCTAATTATAAGGACTTAATACTTACTTGATTAGAATAAGGAAAAATTTAGTAAGTAATAAATTTGGTTTAATTAGCTAGAAGAATAACCAAATGACTATTTTGTCTGGTGTGAACTCTATTTTAAAAGGGTAAAAAAAGTGAACGACATTTCGCGAAGGGCCTTCGTGCTTTTAATATAGTATAGATAACTTTTAATATGAGCTATGGCAATAAAAAAAAACTCCCGGTAAGAAGCTTTTCCCTCCTCAGTAGACTTTATGTGACATCAGAGGCGGATCCAGGATTTAAAGCTTATGGGTTCCTATAAAGACCTTAAGTAAATATACAATAAGTAACTGGGTTCACAATCAAATATTTATAGATATTTAGTGAATTTTTTAATACATATACAGGGTATATGCAAAAGCTACTTGGTTCACGGGAACCCACATTTAATAGGCTGGATCCGCCCCTGTATGCAGAGGCGGACCCAGGATTTGAGTATAACGGGGGCACCATTGTCATTAGAGTGAATTACCCAAAGCCAATAAAAAAATACATATAAACTGTATGATAGACCAACAAATAAGCAGCACAATCCACTATATAATATAAACTTGCTAAGCCAAAAACTAAAATAAAGTAAGAAGAGCTTACGCTTTGATTTCATCATACTCCCCAATTGACCCGCGAACACAAACTTCGATTTCATCAGACTCCCCAATTGATCTGCGAATTTTTTTTAAAAAAATAAGCATTCCAAGAAAATAAACAACTTCTTGCACATCCTTGGGCACACATAGACTAAACTAGAATAAACTTTAAAATATAAAACAAGCGTAATGGCCTTAATCGCAATTCTTGACATACTAATAGTAATATCTACTGTTATCCAAAAATGAGAACTAAAGAAGATACAATTTACATTAAAAGACAAACTTCAATGTTATAGAATATCTTTAATTGATACTAATATAACAAAAGTACATCATCCACTTATACTTGAACTCGACGCGTTTTCATACTCTGAAACGGTCAATAATAGCATCATTGCTTACATTTGTAAATACTTCTTTTTCAAAGTAACAAACTAAACAATCATTTAAAAATGCATTATCAATACTACTAAGCAATTCATCTTTGATGTACTTCATGGATGAGAATGCTCTTTCTACCGTTGCAGTCGCGACAGGTAAAATTAGAGTCAATTTCACAAGTAAATAAACAAGTGAATATATCTCCACAAGATTTGCCTCAACCAACGCTTTTTCCAAATCACTAATTCCTTTCAAATTCAAGCTAGCCATACCAAGAAGCAAGTTACCACTAACAACATCAAAACGACGGTTAAGCTCCTGAAGTTGCAAATCAATCACTGTATAAAAAAGCTCAACACGTAGGTGATGTGAATAAGTAACACTAGAAGTCCTACCCTTCGACTTTCCAGGAATATAGAATTCTTCCATATTAGGCACCAAAATATCATGTTTAGTACAAAACAAATATACTTCATCCATTAATGATCTCCATCCTTCATCTCTCATTTTTTGCAACCTTTCCTTTGTAAGGTCAAGAAATATCATGGCATTTACAATATCTTGCTCTTTCTTCTGTAAAGCTTTACTCAGTTCGTTCTACATTAACAATACCTTCAACATCAAGTGAAGCAAGAACACAAATTCCTAGAAAAAGGCCTTTGTTTTTTGAAGAATCACTTTCATCATGACCTCGAAAAGGCAAACCAAAATACAAGAGAAACCTTACAACATCGATTGATACATTTAAACGAATTCGGTGCTCATTTCTTTGTTTCTCAGATTGCTTATCAAAAGCAACTTGAATTGATTGAGATTGATTTGATAAGTCTAGCATCTTGTTGAAACACTTGTGTTGGAGGTTATTTACTTTACCAACATGTAAATCAAGTCTTTCCGAAGCTTTATTCCAAGCCTTACACCCCATTTTTGTAAAAGAGTCACCCGTGCTTCCATGAACATAATCATTTTTGAATAAATAACAACATAAACAAAATGCGGCATCTTTCTTCACACTATACTCCAACCATCTAGAATACGAACCTTTAAACCAACCCGAACTAAATTGACGCATTTTATTCCCGAATAAAGTTTTAGGAAATTTATGATCAACCGGTTGGCAAGGTCCATTTTGAATGTAGTATTTTCTTACGTCATCCCGTATTCTAGGACTATATTTATCAATGGGTACTCTCTCTCCAGGGTCGGGATTGAGTAATTTCTCATCAAACTCATCTATAAGATGAGAGGAATTATTTCTAAGACTAGAACTTGGTTGAGAGGAATTAAACTTCGTCAAAAATACATCCATCTCAATTCACAAGAACAAGAGCTTCCTACAAAAATGAGTTCAATAAATTTAATAGTCTATCAAGAATAGAAATTCATCAAATGCAAAAGGGGTCAAAGCAGAAGCCACAGCAAGAGAAAATTTGATTTAATTACCAGTGGCAAACCTAAATTTTGGGGATTCTTGAACCAAAAATTTCAAACCTAAATAAAATCATAGGCAGATATACAGAAAGGGCTAAGCACTCTCAGTATTTTCAGCAAATAGTAACAGGTTTAGCAGAAAAACTGAATGAATAAATATATAAGTAATTCCATTTCCCCATTAATCCCTTTCTATAAGCTAAGTCCACAAGATATGAAAATGGGTTACCATCAAACAATGTCCAGAAGGACTAAGCTCAAAAATCAGGTTGAAACACAAGTATTACTATTTATTAGCGCTAATCCTTTACTTTTTTTTTTTTTTGTTTTTTATGGAGAAAGAAAATAAGAAAACAAGAATATAAGAATCTCGGAGAAGAAACTCCATCTAAAGCACGCGTAGGATCTAGTAAAATCCATCCCAAATTCTCCATGCTCTTACAATTTATAAGTAAAAATTAAGTTTCAAAGTAAGAGAAGCACTAACCAAAGATTCGATGCCCGCTACTTTTTCAAAAAAATGAGAGGAATTGAGATTGAGGAAGAATGGTTCTCTATTTTGGAGTGAGGAGTGATGGTTGAGAGGAGCTTCTGCGTTTGAGCGAGGAAGAACTAGGAAAGGTTTACTGGTTTAGGGATTTAATATTTTGGGGCTTTTGGGTAGGATTTTGTAGAAGAACTAAATAATAAAACTGACTATAAAATTGAGAAAAGGTCAAATAAAAAATTATAAATTAGTCAACTGTTGACTAGTGACTAATAAATAGTACTATTATACTAATATAATTGATTATTCCAGTTATAAAAAGTGAAAGAAACTAAAAAAGAAATATTTGTGGAAAGGGATTTCGAACCCCAGTCCTTTGTAGCAAAAGGAAGGTAAATACTGCTGACAGGCGGACCATTGCTCCAAGCAGCATTTCGATTTTAAGGGGGCCAAGAAAAATATTTAAGGGGTCCCTAAAGTATATACAGCTATACATACAATATATATACAGGGTTTTTGCCGAGGTTAACGGGTTCACTATTTGACTCAAAAGATGTTAAACTCTTTTTGAGCAAATCAATCAAAGATGAAGGGGTAAATCCTAGTTAAAGATAATTAACTCTAGATCCGAGACGAATAATATGAGTAGAAAAATATAGCCGAGTATAAATGTTGACATCAATTAAAATCGGATTTAATGGCATAAGTAAAGATGCATTAAGTAACAAAAATATGAATAAAGGAAAAGATTCACCCGATCTTCAGCGAGATGGATCTTCTTTCATTTTATCAAGATCAATGGTAGACAAATACAAGAACCTTATGACCCTTTCTGGATCCGATGAAGGTATGGGATCACTCATCCTCTCCCTTCTTTGGAGAGGTGTGTTTACTTATTTTTTAGAAAGAGGGAGACCAAAAGAGAGCCCCCCAAATGGGAAGTCCTCCCCTCCTATTTATAAGGGGGGTATCCATAGAAAATCCTAACAAAAGGTACAATTTAGAGAGAATATTCAGTAGAATATTCCTTTTGAGTATTCTAAAGCAAACTAGCAGTTTCATGACTGTCCGTCCTCGGCCTGTCCCAACTCGGCCTATCCGACCACGACCTTATTGATGACGGTCCGACCTTGGCTTTATTGATGACGGTCCGTCCTTGGCCTGTCCGACCTTGGCTTTATGTATTCGCGTGCCGAATTTCTCTGGTCTAATTTTGACCCATACATTCACGTGACCCCTCAAGGCCTAGTGTAGGTCCGCCTCTGCCTGTGTGGCGTGGATTTAAAATTATTGGGCTAAAGAAGTTTAAATATTGAATGGTTAAAACTCAAGAAAAGAAGGGCAAAATTAAGGGTAGATGCTTGTCATTTTGATTTGATCCTTCTCGTTTAACAGAAAACATGCACGGACTTTTTATCTTTAATTAGGAATAATTGAGAAATGGGTAGTTACTTATCTCTTACTCAATAAATAAAGTAAAATCTACCCAAAAGCAATGCAAAATCTCATCGGTACTTTTTATCATCTTTCTCTTTAGCAACATTTAAAAGTCTTCTTGCTATCTTGATAGACCTATCTCGTCATGTCAAAGAGACTGCACCATTTTCTCGCAATAAGCAATTTATACTGATAGTATAAATATATTAATACTATGTATCAGTGTAACATAACCAAGCTACTCTAATGCAAGTATCCGTTGCTGATTTTAAAGCTCGAATCCGTGACCTATAGATTAAACATAAACAATTTTATTGTTGCTCCAAGGCTCTCTCGAAGAAAATATGTGTTGAGAAAACAAAGTATAAGAAAAGAGACTGGAGTTGTAACTTATAATCTTGGGGATTTAATTAAACCGGTTAACTTTAAAGCTCAGGAGACTTCATAGATCATGATATAGGAGAAGCACGTGAATGAGGAAGCACAGTGGGTCACCGCTCTCTTTTTTGTCAAAGACAAAAAGCTCCAAACCAAATCTGGTGCCAGATTGGGTCGTGCCTTATCTGGCCCATTCATGCCGTAACCTGCGGCTCCATTTCAATTGGGAAACTTTCATAAATACATACGTTATAAGAGTAAATTTCATTATATATAACTATAATTGAAATCACGTTTTGTATAACATTTGATTTCATTTCATAAAATCAAATATCAACAAATAGTATCCAAAATATGGTAAAATCCCTACAATTAAGGAAACTGAATAATTATCAAATCAATTCAAACCTAAAAAATCTCCATTTAGTCAGATATTAATTAACCAATTATTAAGAGATGTTATATGTTATTTTTGCACAAATCACTTCGTATATCTTCTCTTTACAGCTTTTTGTTGTTGTTTGTTCATAGTCATATTCATCACCTTCATAGTTCTTCACCTTTTCCAACTTCTTGATGATGCTTTTTCCAACACTCATATCCATCACCATTTTAACAATGGTATATATATATATATATATATATATATATATATATATATATATATATATATATATATATATATATATATATATATATATATATATATA